AGTCCAAGTCTCCACAGAGTTCAAAATTTTGCAGTGTCATGCATAGTGAGAAAGCAATGGAATCTATATCATTGCAAGATATTGCAGGCTGGGTGTTTAGGAGAGGGGCTGAGTAGATGATGAATAGCAGAGCCTGAGCCTCATGCAGAAATCATTTTCTTCTCTGGAAGGCTTGGAAACAGTGGTTGCAGAAGATGTAAATGAAGATACTCTGAAACTAAAAGTTCAAAGTTTGTTGATGTGTATTTTGTGCTATGTGTTATTTATCGATTTGTTAATTTAAAAAGAGTGAAATGTTTAAACCTGTGCATTGGAGGGTAAAGTGTGAAAGTTGCTTAATACTTCACTGCATCACTGCTCCTGTACACACCTGCTCTGGTGCATGCCTTGACTCCAGCCCTGTCCTGGTTCACATCTCCAGTCCAGCTGAACCCTGGTGCCCATTTCCAACTTCAGCCCAGTCCCAGTACACAACTCCACTCCAACGCAAGACCTGTAAACATCTCTAGCTCTTCTCTAGGTTTCAGCCTCCTTTTTCCTCGAATTAAATTTGAATTCCTAGGCCTCCCAAAAGATACTGACATTTCACAGTTGGATAAGTCAGGTTTAATGTCCAAAATAACTCCTCCAATCACACTTTCACACTGATTTTGATTGATCCTCTGACCAGATTCTGTCTGTAGAGTATCAACTCTCTCTCTCTTTCTCATACAGGCTGTTCTTCCAATCACAGCTCTGTAGTAGTCAGTACCTGCTTTGAACGAGTGGGGAATGGAAATTTAAAATAAAACCCTGTACAAAGTTTGGTCATAATTTAAAACAGTGGATTTCCAAGACTTCGAAGTTTGAAATGTGTGCTAAATGGTGGAAATTTATCATTCTTTTACAAGATTATGGTTAGATATGACCTGGAGTACTGTGTGGAGTTCTGGATACCATAATTTAGGAAGGATATATTGGCCTTGAAGGTAGTGCAGTACAGATTTACCAAAATCTAGGCTCCCAGACTTAAATAATTAGACAGATGACACAAACTAGATTTGTCTTCTTTGACACTTATAAGTTGAAGGAGTGATTTAATGCATGTAATCAAGAAATTAGATCAAACTGAGAGGATACGGACAGATAAACTTTTTCTGCTGGTGGCAGAGTCAAGGACTCAGGGACATTGTGTAGAAGTTAAAAGGCTTTTTAGAAGTAAAATTAGGAAAGATGTTGACACACAGAGGGTGACAGCAGTTTGTAATTCAGTTTTGAAAATAGCAATTGATGCTAAGTCAGCCATTAGCCATAAATCCAAGATTGTATTTAACCAGAGGTATTTAGAGATATAGGGCAAAAAAGTCATAGTTCAGTCACACTGAATGATGGAACAAGCTCAGGGGACAAAATGAACTACTCCTGTTTCTCATGTTCCTTTCTTTCTGCCTATTCTCTTTCCGTTTCCTCCGCATCTTATCCTCCTACTCCTCCTCTCTCCCCCTTTATGCGTTCACCCAACACCTCAGCCCTGTTCTGACCATGCAATTATATGTAAAAAAGTGTGCCAGGGCAATAGTTACAGGGGACTCAACCGTCAGGGGAATAGACAGACATTTCTGTGGCCACAAATGAGACTCCAGGATGGTATGTTGCCTCCCTGGTGCTAGGGTCAAGGATGTCTTGGAGCGGATACAGGACATTCTGAAGCAGGGAGGGTGAACAGTCAGTGGGCATGGTAAACATCGGTTAAAATGACATAGGTAAAACAAGGGATGAAGTCCTAAAGGCAGAATACAGGGAGCTAGGAAGCAAGTTAAGAAATCAGACCTCAAAGGTAGTGATCTCAGGATTACTACTGGTGCCACGTGCTAGTCAGAGGAGAAATGATAGGATATATCAGATGAATACGTGGCTGCAAAGATGATGTCAGGGGGAGGGTTTCAGATTCCTGGGGCATTGGGACCGGTTCTAGGGGAGGTGGGACTTGTACAAATTGGATGGGTTACATCTGGGCAGGACTGGGACTGATGTCTTAGGGGACAGTGTTTGCTAGAGCGGTTGAGGATGTTTAAACTAATATGCCAGGGGGACAGGAACCTATGTAAAGAGTCAAAGGAGAAGGCAGCAAGAACAAACACAAAAGCTAGAAAAGAGAATAAGGAAAGTGATAGGCTGAGAAACCAAGGACAAGATTCAAACAGGGCAAGTGAGAAAAATAAGGAGGAGACAAACACTGTTAAAAGGACAGCTTAAAGGCTTTGAGCCTTAATGCATGGAGCATCTGCAATAAAGTAGATGAACTAATTGCGCAGATAGATGTAAACAGGTATGATATAATTGGGATTACAGAGACATGGCTGCAGGGTGACCAGAGATGGTAACTGAATGTCCCAGGGCATTCCGTATTTAGGAAGGACAGGCAAAAAGGAAAAAGTGGCGGAGCAGCATTGCTGGTTAAAGAGGAAATTAACACAATAGTCAGAAAGGATATTAGCTCTGACAATGTGGAGTCTATATGGGTAGATTTGAGAAATACCAAGGGGCAAAAAACGTTAGTAGGTGTCACATATAGAACCCCAAACTGCAGTGGTGATGTCAAGAATGGCATTAAAAAGGAAATTAGAGATGTATGTGATAAGGGAATATCGGTAATCATGGGTGATTACCTGCACATAGATTGGGCAAATCAAATTAGCCACAATGCCGTAGAGGAGGAATACCTGGTGTGTATATGGGATGGTTTCCATGACCAATATGTGGAGGTACCAACTAAACAGCAAGCCATTTTAGAGTGGGTGCTGTGTAATGAGAAGGGAATCATTGCCAATCTAGCTGTGCGAGACCCCTTGGGGAAGAGCGACCAGAACATGATAGAATTTTTCATCAAGATGGAGAGTGAGGTTGTTGATTCAGAGACTAGGGTGCTGAACCTTAATAAAGGAAACTAAAGGATGTGAGGTGTGAGTTGGCCTTGATAGATTGGAGAGAGTTACTTAAAGGGATGACAGTGGATAAGCATTGGCAAACATTCAAGGAGCACATGGGGAAACTACAACAACTGTTTAATCCTGACTGTCACAAAATCAAAATGGGCAAGAGGGCCAATCCATGGCTTACAAAGGAAATAAGAGATAGTATCCGATCTAAGGAAGAAGCATACAGATTGGCCAAGAAGAATAATAAATCTGAGGATTGGAGCAGTTTAGAATTCAGCAAAGAAGGATCAAGGGATTGATTAAGAAGGGGAAAATAAAGTACGAAAGTGAGCTTGCAGGCTACATAAAGACTGATGCTAAGAGTTTCTACAGGAACATGAAGAAAAAGATTGGTAAAGACAAATCCCCTACAGACAGAAACGGGGGAATGTATAATAGGGTACAAAGAAATAGCTGAGGAACTGAATACATACTTTGGTTCTGTCTTCACAAAAAATAAGGACACAAATCAAATACCAGAAGTTTTGGAGGATACAAGATTTAGTGAGAGGGAAGAGCTGAGGGAGACCAATATCAGTAGAGAAATGGTGCTGGGAAAACTGTTGGGATTGAAGGCCAATAAATCCCCATGGCCTGATAATCTACATCCCAGAATACTTAAGGAAGTAGCTTTAGAGATAGTGGAATCATTGGTAATCATCTTCCAAGATTCTATAGACTCTGGAACAGTCTCTGCAGGTAACAGGGTGGCTAATGTTGCTTCAATATTCAAAAAGAAGCAGAGAGAAAACAGAGAATTATAGACCAGTGAGCCTAACATCAGTAGTGGGGAAAATTCTCTAAATTGATGTTGGATTATTTTATTACCTGTTTTATAAGACAGAAATTACATTAGTTTTCTTCTGGTCAATGGAAATCATCCCAGTGCTTTAAGCAATTAAAAATATAGGTTGAAGCTCTAAATGTGTGCCTGATAAGAAGCTGCTCTATTTTCAAGTTGCTAATTCCAAATAAAACAATATGTTCATCTAATTTAATATCAATGATGTAATTAGTAATGAGCCTAACCTCTTTTACGGCTTCTATATGGTGATATTTGTGGACAGCAGTAGACTTGCTTGGTCATTGGTCATACTCAACGAGGCAGAAATTCAATGTAATTCCAAATGTCCTTGGTACTCGAAGAAAACTGTGGGCATATATAGCAGGTGGTGAAATTCAAAAATATTTTATACAGATAAGTAAATTGAACCATTGCATTCAACTAGAAATGTACTGCAGTCCATGACTTATGTTAGGAGTGGTTGTTGCTTCGATTCCAGTCGAAATTCGAAACCAACACCAGAAGAATAGTGATCGACGCACGAAACCTGTCCGTACAAGAGGGCAAAGCGGTCGATGCCCCACACCAATTGTGAAGGAATCCTACAGGTAGTGATGACAAACCGACTCCTGAGCCCACCCTCCGGCCGTAGTCCAGCCACCCCACCCCCTCCGCGTGCAGCCTTTTCCTGTTAACGGCCGCACCAGGCCCGCGGCCCATCGCGCCGCACGCGCCTACACACTGCCAATCAGGAACTAGTGCAAGGGAAGGGAAGCCGGCATCGAGGGAAAAGAAGGTTAAATACCGGAAAAAGTTGGGATCAAACACTGCGGAAGATCAGGGTCAGCACTTAGGCGAGGGAAAGGTCAGACGGTGGGGAGCAGGATTACACTGTGGAGGGGGGGGGGGCGCGGTGGGTCGGACGCTTCTGGATCACGTTGAAGTGTAGAGCAGGGCCACACATCAAAGGCCAGAGGTGTGCAGCAGAGTCAAACTCTCGAGGCGGAAAGCACAGGGGGAAATAGCAACGTTTAATATTCAGGATTAAAGAATACAGTCAAGTATTGAGGGCAGCGTAGACGTGAGTTGAGAGAAGAGTGCAGCTTTGAATGGAAGCAAAACCCACTATTTAAGGGAGAAGCAAGGCGAATGCTGCCGGGGGTTGGAGCTAAGTTACAATATTAAAGGCTTTTAGCTTAAAGAAAGTCAAACCTGCCAACTACAAAGATTATCCGCTAACAACTAAGGGAGCAGACTACATGACTGAAGTAAAAGTGGAACCTCATAATGAGGAGAAAACTGAACATGACATTCAGGAGAGATCAAATGCCAACATTGTGTCCAACGTTAAAACAGAAGTAAAGTCTAGAATCAAGAAAGGAACAGAAGCTGCTGTGAAAACGTGGAGGCAAAACAAGATAGCAAGCTCAAAACAGAAGTCAATTTTAAGGATGGAAATAGAAGATTACTCTATGGTACATGAACCATTTTTGTCGGTTTACCACAATTTAGTTATTTTAGAGAGGACAGGGTGATTGGGATCTCTGGTCAGAGCAGACAACTTGGACCAAAGAGTTCATTTCCATGCTGTATGACTCGATGGTGGGGGAGCATTGTTGGTAAGGTGTGAATAAATTTGTTAACAAAAATGATCTTGAATTGGAAGATGTAGAATCCATGTGGGTGAAGGTAAGAAATAAAAGGGAAGAAGACACTGGTACCAGTAATCTGTAGGCCCCCTAACAGTAGCTATACAGTGGGACGAGTCAAAGAGCCATGCAGTATGTGAACTAATAAAAGACAACCAAAAAAGAGTGAGAAAATAAACTTTGAGGGTAATCATGTAAGTAATATCAAGACGGACAGCCAGAGTATCTTTAGGTATGTAAAAAGGATGAGAGAAACCAAAGTGAAAATAGGCCAGTTAGAGAATGAAGCTGGGTAAATGATAATGGGGAAGTAGGAAATGACAGAGGAGTTGAATAAGTACTTTGCATCAGTCTTCACCGTAGAAGACATGAAGACTAGATATTCAAGGAGCAGATAGAGAAGAGAAAATAAATACAACAGCTATCACTAGAGAAAAAGTGCTAGGGAAACCTAATAGGGCTGAAGATCGATAGGTCCCCTGAATCTGATGGGATGCAACCAAGGTTGTATAACGAAGTAGCTACAGAGATAGTGATCTGTCAGGAATCTTTAGATTCTGGAAAAATCTCAGGATTAGAAAACTACCAATGTAACATCATTATTTTAAAAGGGAAGAAGACAAAAAGAAAGACTGCAGACCGGTTAGCTTAATGAATGTTACTGGGAAAATCTAACAGCAGAACATTTAGAAACACATAATATATTAGCAGAGTCAGCTTGGCTTCATGAAGGGGAAATCATGCCGGTCAAATTTACTAGAATTCTTTGAGGAGATAACAAGCAGGGTAGATAAGGGACAGTGAATGTAATATATCTGGATTTTTAAAAGACATTTGATATGGTACATTAAGCTTCTTACATTAAGATTAATAACAGTCCAAGGTGAATGGCAGAAAGCCAAATTTCAATTTATTAAAACTGCCAAGCTGTAGCCTGATTTGACCATTAGAGAGCCAGTCAGGATACAAACCTTCAGTGTCCTCAACAAGAGAGAGCCCAAGTGGCAAGTTGGACCTGCACAAAGCAGTTGTCACCTCAATCAGCTATACTGTCACAGTGGCATGCGCACAATGGCGTGGAGAAACCGTTCCTTCACTGCAAACGGCCAATCTGGAAGATGTGAACTCACTGTCTGTATAGATCACAGCACATTAGCAATGGAAATAGAACAATGACAGTTACAACAATAATGAGTGACATGGAAACAGCATTCCTTAAAAAAGGAAGTTCACCCAGATGAACAATGAATGATAACGTATACACACATACCACATCTGCAGACCAGGGAGAATAACAAATTGTTAATGCAGTTAGCCATAGTTGTATGCATAGTGGATAACTTGGGTAGATCACAGTATAAATGATAATGCATGCAAATTTTTGAAATGTTTTGCATGAAAAGGAGAATGTTTGGCTTAGAGATGCAATGCTTCACTTATGTGCCTTTAGGCTTGCTGTGGTCATGTGAGTTCCATTGTGAGGCACTCACTGCCCGTATCCATCTTATAACCAATTTAGTAAAGAGACAGTACAAACTACATTGTGGTCCTGTGAACTCAAATCTGTTGATAAGGGTTTTGTCTGAACTGGACTGGGACAAAGGTGCAGGCAAAATATAACTACACCTTAGAAATAAAATTTTAAACTGAGAACATTGTCAGAGTAAACTGCAACAAATGTTGGTGACCTAACAATAAAAGATTCAGGCAAAAAGATTAATGGACAAACTAAAACAAGGAATAATGTTGGGCAATGACAATTTGAATTTTACATTCAATAGAGAGAGGAGTGAGTAAGGGTCTGAGACTTTGGATGGTTCTGGCATATTTAATAATTAACTAGGAAATGGTAGAGGAATGAAAATTTATTCAACTCCTTAACTAAGAATTAAAATAATTCTCAACTCACTGCTGAATCCCCGACTACCCAGACTACGTCTATACATTCACCCCAATGTGACCCTCATTTATCAGCGCCCCCTCACCTTCACACTCCCACAGACATATGACATCATCCCTTTCTTTTCTCCTCCCCCTCTGCCACCAGCAATCCCTCATTGTTCCTGAGACTGACTTAGCCCATAAATCTCTTCAGGCCCAACAGCATCTGCCAGCACCACCATGCATCAGATTGGATCTGACCACCCTCTCCACCTGCCAGATTACCAACCTACTATCTACCACCACCAGTCTGCCACTCTATGTCCTTATACACCTCATCCATTTTACCCACCTACCCAACCTATTCTCCAGAAATGATTAAATAACTTAACAGTATTAAAATAAATAAAGAAAACAGATTACAGTTAGAATTATTAAATAACAATTACATAAAATCTTTAAATTGAATATAAAAGTTATTACACTTACAATTAATAAAAATAGCACAACATTTTTAAAAGGAATTTCATTGCACTTACCTTCCTATGTTAATCTCTGTACTTCATGTTGTTGCCCTTAAGGGGCACTTCTAGGTCCTTTGACATCCTGGGGGCTGAGGCCTTGCCTTCTTTATGCTTTGTCAAGGCCTAGGCAAAATGCTGTAATGGAGGTATCAGGGAGAAGCCAGGTTTGAAAGTCTGAAGAAGGGTTACTGGACTCAAAAAGTTAACTCTGCTTTCACTCCACATTTGCTGAGTTCTCCAGCGATTTCCAGTTTCTCCAGATTGTCAACATCTGCAGTTCTTTGTTTTATTTTACAACACTGGATGTGGTCATTGTTACAAAGCAAAGCAGGTAGGAGTCAGAAAGCATCTCAATAATACTGATAACAACACACTAATACTCAAGACTAGGAACAAGAATGATATAAGTAGGACAAAGACTAAGATAATTGATCAGAATACAGCAACTTATGAGGAAGTGAGGGTGGAACTAAAAAAAATAAGCAGAGTAAAATCAGGAAAAACGAGGATCTGGATTATGCTCTGAGGGTGAGCTTTCCACACCAAGTCTAAGTACAAGAATGAGCTCAAAGTGGCAATAGGACATGACTCTTACTTGTGCATTAATTGTTAATTTTAGGGTTTTAATTGGACCACAAGTGGGCAGTCCATCTAGAACCTACTCTGCTATTCATAAAATCATAAAATTTGTGTGGGCAGTCCATTAGCAAACACATCACTAATTGCATAACACCATAATTTATGATCCGCCTGCTTGTTTTTCCCAGCCACCGATGATCTGTAAAATTCAGTCCACTGAGTTGGAAATCTTTACAGAGGTAAACAACAGCTTTCAAGAGAAATACATTTCTCTAAAACCAGAACATAGAAAGCCAACTATGGGGAACCAGAGATGAATAAAGAGCTACAGGGAAATTAATTCTAAATAAAAGATATACACAACATACTTAGATTCTAATGGAGAAGGGAACAAAACGGAATGCAAAGAGCTTAGGAAAGAAGTTTTCAAAAACACATTAAAAGCAATGAAAATTTACAACACAGGTTATCAAGAAGTAAAAAAGAACCTTCTATGTGCACATAAACAACAAAGGGAAAGTTGAAGTTAGATTAGGGCTCTAAAATGCACAAGATAAACTAATAGGTAATAACAGAAGCATTAAATATCTACATTGTTTCAGTTTTTAACTGGAGAAGATTCCAAAATTGTTAATTCACTAAAGCTGGGAAATGATATTAATACACTTGTGATACAAAGGAAGAAATGATTGACAAGTAGATGCATTACTGAGTTGGAATAATATTTAGGCTTACACTGTTAAGGTAGCTAGGGAGGTGATAGAAGTGGAGGCTTGTTCTGAGGTGGACCTCTCTGTTCTCAACCTCCCATAGCGTTCTAGTGAAGTTCAGTGTATATTCAAGGAATAGCACATTCCCTTTCAGTTAAGTACTTTACAGGCAGCTGAACTCAACATCAAGTTCAACAGTTTCACATTGTACCCTGAGCTCAGTTTTGTTTCCTGTTACTTTGTAGGTTCAGCATTTACTTTGATATTTCTTTATTTTTGATTTTGGGTTATTTTTTATTTTTATTTAGGTTACTAACTTTTTTTCTGGATATGTTTTGTTTCTGTGCTTCTGCCTCACCATTCCCTTTGGCTTTGATCCATCAACTTTTTTTTCTGTTCTAATTTTTCCTGTCTTTCATGTTATCACAGACCTTCCCTTTTATTATTTCTTATTTCCCCTCCCTCCACTTTGCTTGCTTGAAACCCAGTACAATTCTATTTCCCAATTCTGATGGAAGATCATTGGCTTGAGGTATTAATTCTATTTTTCTGTCGACAGATGCTATTTCACATGTTAAGTATTTCCAGCATTTTTATTTTGACTTGAGCTTTCCAGCATTTGAAGTATTTTGATTTTGTATCTGACTTCTTTTTTACAACAAGTATGTGAGCATAATGCCATTGAAACTATTTCTTTATTTACAGGATGATGAACTAATTTACATATTAACCAACTCTGAAAGTGAAATTCTGGTACCTGATAATGAAGACTTACTGGTAATACGATTCTATATACAATCTGTTTGAACAAATTAGATGGTATAGTAATTACTACTTTAATTGCATACTGTTGAATAGAGGTGCAGCACACATTTGCACCGACTCCTTGGATTAAATACTTTAAGTTATGTTAAAATGTGGGTTAGGTGAAGAATATATGTCCTGTCCATATTCTTAATCAAACAACTCCAAATTAGGTTGTCATGGATTACTTGGAGGATGCAGCAGTTGGATGAATAGGTGCAGTCAAAAGGAAGCAGCTGGATACAATATAAAGCTTTATTTAATTAAATCATCCACAACATGGACTAGAATCTACATCTTCAAACCTTTCTGTCTGCATCTCACATATTGTGTTATTATTCTTCAGCTTTTATAGTCATAGAGTCATACAGCATGGAAACAGACCCTTCGGTCCAACCAGTCCATGCTGAACATAATCCCAAACTAAACTAATCCCACCTGCCTGTTCCTAGCCCATATCCCTCCAAACCTTTTCTATTCATGTACTTATCCACATGTCTTTTAAACATTGTAATTGTACCCACGTCCACCACTTCATCAGGAAGTTAATTCCACACACAAAGCATCTTCTGTGTAAAAGATTTGCTCCTCATATCTTTTTTAAATGCTGCAGATAATACCAAGTTGGGTGGGGGTGGGGTGGTGAACTGTGACAAAGATGTAGAGATCCTTCAGCATGATCTTGACAGGTTGGGTGAGTGGGCAAATCAATGGCAAATGCAGTACAATTTGGATAAATGTGAGGTTATTCGCTTCGGAAGCAAAAACAAGAAGGAAGATTACTACCTGAGTGGCTGTAAATTGGGAGTGGGGACTGTGCAACGGGACTTGGGCATCCTTGTGCACCAGTCGCTGAAAGTTAGCGTGCAGGTGCAGTAGGCAGTAAAGAAGGCAAATGGTATGTTGGCCTTCATTGTGAGAGGTTGTGAGTACAGGAATGGAGATGCATTGTACAGGGCCTTGGTGAGACCACACCTGGAATATTTTGTGCAGTTTTGATCTCCTTTTCTGAGGAAGGTTGCTCTTGCTCTCGAGGGAGTGCAACAAAGGTTTACCAGGCTGATTCCAGGGATAGCAAGTCTGATGTATGAGGAGAGATTGTCTAGGTTGGGATTATTTTCGCTGGTGTTCAGACAAATGAGGGGGGGACAAAAAGAGACTTATAAAATTCTGACAGGACTGGACAGAGTAGATGCAGGGCAGATGTTCCCAATGGTGGATGTGTCCAGATCCAGGGGTAACAGTATGAGTATTTGGGGTAGACAATTTAGGATGGAGATGAGGAGACATTTTTTCACCGAAAGAGTGGTGAGCCTGTAAAATTCATTACTACAGGAAGTAGTTGATGCCAAAACATTGAATGTATTCAAGAGGTGACTAGATATAGCACTTGGGGCGAATGGGATCAAAGGTTATGGGAAGAAAGCAGGATTAGGCTATTGAGTTTAGAAGATCAGCCATGATCGTGAAAAATGGCAGAGCAGGCTCAAAGGGCCAAAAGGCCTCCTCCTGCTCCTATCTTCTATGTTTCTATGTTAATCTTTCTTCTCTCACCTTCAAAATGTGCCCCCTGGTCTTGAAATCCCCCATCCTAGTAAAAAGACGACTACGATTAACACTATCTATGTCCCTTATTATTTTATAAACTTCTTTCAGGTTGCTTCTCAACTCCTACGCTCCAGTGAAAAATGTCCCAGCCTATCCAGCCTTTCTTTATAACTCAAACCTTCCATACCTGGCAACATTCTGGTAAATCTCTTTTGAATCTCTCCAGCTTAATAATATCCTTTCTATAACTCGTCAACCAGAACTGGACATAGCATTCTAGAACAGGCTTCACCAATGTCCTGTACAACCTAAACGTGACTTCCCAACTCCTATACTCAAAGGACTGAGCAATGAAGACAAGTGTGCCAAACACCTTTTTAACCACCCTGTTGATATGTGATGCAAACCTCAAAGAATTATATACCTGCACTCCTAGGTCTCGCCGTTCTACAACACTATCCAAGGCCCTACCATTAAGTTAATTTCCTCAATCTCACTGCCAAGTGCCCAGTGGCTTCTTTTGTGCATGGCCAGCAGTCAGTCAGTAGTGCTACAGATGGGAATTCCCCAGAGCTTTTGGATAAGAGGGAGTAGATTTAAAACAGAGATGAGCAGAAATTGCTTTTCTCAAAGGGTCGTGAATTTATGGAATTCACTATCCCAGTGTGCAGTGAATTGTGGGAAATTGAGTAAATTTGAAGAGGAGTAGACAAATTTTTAATTACTAATGAGTTGAAGGGTGGTAGTGAGTAGGCAGAAAAGTGAAGTTGAGACTGAGATGAGATCAGCCACGTTTGTATTGAATGGCGGAACAGGCTCGAGTAGGCCTACTCCTGCCTAATCCTTCTACTTCTTATGTTCCTATGTGTTGCAGTAGCTGCTTGTATATCTGTGGGTACACTGTCCATTTTCTGAACCATAATATTTGTATGTTTCAGGCTAAAGTTGACTTTGTCTTTGTGACAAACAAATCAGATACTGGCATTGATAGACATGAAATGGAGAGGATATGTTACCTGAAAAAGTTGAAAGAGATAGGCTTCAATATAATGGTGAGTAGAATAAAGTCAAAGTTGAATTGAAACTAAAATGAAAGGGTTGAACACCAATAAAATGAAAATAAGGTATAACCTTTTTAACATCCACAACAGTTTACTAAGTGGTAATTCACTTGACGTGCTCTGAATGGTATTGGTAACTCAGACAGTGACCATCTTGAACAAGAAAACCCACTGATCTTCAATAGTATCACCATTCCCATATTATCCTGCATCAATATTTTGGTTGTCATCACTGACCGGAAGTTTAACTGGCTTAGAAAAATAAACTTCACGGCCACAAGAGTATTTCAAGGGCTATTTTGCAATGAGTGGCAGACCATTTGATACCCAGAATATATTTGAATACTCAACCTAATCTGAATGAGTGTAGCCAGTAGCAATAACAGTCAAAAGCAGTCAAAACCATCCAGGATAAAGCAATCCATTTCACTTATGCTGCCACTGGGCTAAAAGTTAATCTCCTCCACCTCAGATTTACTGTAGTTACAGTATATGTAATCTACAGAATGCAATGAGACAACATTTTAAAATTGCTTTGACATCATCCTTCAAAACTGCAACATTTAGCAAGAGGTGAAGACTAAGAATAGGAAACATCGTTTCTTCTAAGTGCTCTTCCAAGTCACAAAACAGTGAGACCTGGATGTATGTTCCTATTCTTTCATCAGCATGAGGGCAAAAACATATAATTTTCTACCTAAGATCACCATTACCTTGAGAAGAACTTTAAAGAGGGTCCCTCACAACCTTTCAGGGCAGCTGTGCATAGACAGCAAATTGACTCGCAAACATTGCCCAAAAATCAAAGAATAAAGTGAAAAAAGCATGATGTGGGGCAGGTTTTTTCTATTCTATTTTCTGGAATTTCTTATTAGGGAAAAGTCAAGTACTTCAAAAATCATGGTAGGTTTAAGTAGAGCCAACATGGTTTATGAAAGGGAAATCATGTCTGACAAATTTATTAGAATTTCTGAGAATGTAACTACAGGGTGTATAAGTGGAATCCAGTGGGTGTAGTACACTTGGATTTCCAGAAGGCATTCAACAAAGTACCATATAAAAAGTTAGTGCAAATGTTAAGGGGGGGTTACCTGGCTGGGGGAGGCCTGGAACTTCTTCCCTAACAGCATTGTGAAGGCATCTGGACTGCAGCAATTCAAGAAGGTAGGTGATCACCACCTTCTCAAGGGAAACTAGGATAATAATAAATGCTTGCCCAGCTGGTGATGCTCACATCCCATGAATGAATAAAAATAACTCAGAATAGGGAGTAAGTCCCTGGCTTTTAGACTGACTAATTAGTGGAACTAACATAATCAATGTTCATCTTGTTTTGCCTTGTTAGAATTTTGCGAGTTTCAGTGAGGTCACCAAAAAACAAAGAACTGTGGATGCTGGAAATCAGAAACAAAATCAGGAATTGCTGGAAAAACTCAACAGGTCTAGCAGTATCTGTGGAGAGAAAGTAGAGTTAGTGTTTCAGGTTCAGTCACCCTTCTTAAGAAAAATGAGCTCAATGAGATCACCTGTCATTCTTTGAAACTGCAGGAAATACCTATGCAGACCCAATGTCCTCAGTCTACCCTCTTAAAATAATCCCAGCAACCTGGGGATTAACCTGGTGAACCTCCTTTGCACTGCCTCTATAGCAGGTATATCTCATACAGTCATACAGCACAGAAACAGTCCCTTCGGTCCAATCCCTCCACGCCGACCAGTTATCCTGCACTGATCTTGCTCCATTTGCCTGTGTTTGACCGTATCCTTGTAAGTCCTTTCTATTCATGTAACCATCCAGATACCTTTTAAATGTTGTTATTGTACCTGCCTTTACTACTTCCTCTGGGAGTTCATTTCACACGCCACCCTCTGAAAAAGTTGCCCCTCAGATCCCTTTTAAATCTTTCCCCTCTCACCTTAAACCTATGCCATCTTGTTTCAGACTCCCCTACCCAGGGAAAAATACCTTGGCTATTCACCTTATCTATGTCCCTCATGATTTTATAGACCTCTATAAGGTCACCTCTCAGCCTCCGATCCTCCAAGGAAAATGCGTTTGATCTATAGAGAGAGGCTGAATAGACTGGGGTTATTTTCCATGGAGTTTCAGAGGCTGAGGGGTGACCTTATAGAGATTTATAAAATCATGAGGGACGTGGATAGGGTAAGTAGACAAGATCTTTTCTGCAAGGTGAGGGAGTCCAAAACTAGAGGGCATAGGTTTAAAGTGAGAAGGGAAAGATTTAAAAGGGGCCTAAGGGACAACTTTTTCACGCAGATAGTGATACAAGTTTGGAATGAGCTGCCAGAGGAAGTGTCGGAGGCTCATACACTTACAACATTTTAAAGGCATCTGGACAGCTATATGAATAGGAAGGGTTTTGAAGGATATGGGCCAAATGCTGGCAATGGGACTAAATTTATTTAGGATTTCTGGTTGGCATGGATGAGTTGGACCAAAGGGTCTGTTTCCGTGCTGTATATATCTCTATGAAAGAAACCCCTGCCTATTCAGCCTCTCCCTATATCTCAAACCATCCAGTCCAGTAACATCCTTGTGAATCTTTTTTGCACCCTTTCAAGTTTAACAGCATCCTTCCTATTGCAGGAAGACCAGATTTGAATGCAGTATTCTAAAAGTGGCCTCATCAGTGTCCTGTATAGCCACAATGTGATATTCTGACTCCTATACTCAATGCACTGACCAATGAAGGCAAGTGTGCCAAATGCCTTCTTCACCACCAAGTTTACCTGCGTCTCCACTTTTGAGGAACAATGCACCTGCACCCCTAGGCCTCTTTGTTTGGCAAAACTACTCCGGGCCCTACCATTAACTGTGTAAGTCCTGCCCTGGTTTGACTTAACAACATTTAATACCTCACATTTGTCTAAACTCCATTTGCCACTCCTCGGCCCATTGGCCCATCTGATCAAGATCCTGTTGTACTCTTTAGATAACCTTCTTCACAATCCACTACACCACCTATTTTGGTGTCATCTGCAAACTTACTAATCCTGCCTCCTGTATTCACATGCAAATCATTTATATAAATGACAAAAAGTAGCAGACCCAGCACCGATCCTTGTGACACACTGCAGGTCACAGGCTTCCAGTTGGACAAACAATCCTCTACCACCATCCTCTGTCTCTTCAACCCAATTTTGTATCTAATTGACTAGTTGTCACTGGATTGTCTACCACTCTGCCTTCATCAATCTTCTTTGTTACTTTAAAAAATGCATTTTTTTGTCACCTCTTCAAAAAACTCAGAGATAAGGGTTCCAAAAATGTACATAATCGTCCAGATGACATCTTACTGAGTATTTATGCAACTGCAGTAAAATATCATTACTGCTATGCTCAAATACCCTTATAATGCTCAAATACCCTTATAATGCTCAAATACCCTTATAATGAAAGCCACCATACTGTTTGCCTTGCTAAATGACTGCTGCATCTACATGCTGAATCTTAGTGATACACGATCAAGGACAGCAGGTCCCTTTGTTCATCCCTACTTCCTAACCTCTCACAATTTAAGAAATATTCTGCGTTTTTATTTTTTCTAACAAAGTGAAGAACTTCACAGTTATTTATATTATAATCCACATGCCATGTTCTAACCCATCACTTGAATCCTCACTGCATCCACCTTACAACATACATTTCCATTGGAAACATTGCAATGGTCCCTGGGGCACGGGGGGGCAGGGATGTGGTGGTGGTGGTGTGGGATTGTGAACGGCTGTGGATCTAGCACTGATCCTTGCAGTGCCTCTCTGGTAATAGTCTGCCACCCTGAGAAGGATCCATTTATTTATACTGTCATGATTCCTGTAGGAATGGTTTGCTGCAAATCCAGCCCTCTTATTCTGAATCATTAGAAACACGATATGTGACCAGTTTAATCCCTAAGATTGTGATCCCTATCTAAGAAAAAAAGGTTCACATCAGGTTTCATCAGTGAACAAGGAAAGAACTTGTTCATAATCACAATCTTATCCTTCAACATATGGCAAAAACAGATTATTAATTACAAATGCAAACTTAAACAATAACCCCTTTAAATCTAAACATGTTTATTCATGCATATGATGACAGACAGATAGATGGATAAAACAGTCTATTTAGGAATGAAGTGTGTAGAAAATATAGGCAAAAAGGCACCAAATTTGTGGATCAAAGTACCTGGCGAAAAGGGATATAGGAATATGGAAATTAGGAGTGGAAGTAGACAATTCAGGTCTTTGAGCTCGCTCAGCCTTTTAAAATGATCACGGCTGATCTTATCCTGGTCTCAACTCCACTTTCCTGCCTGTTCCCCATAGCCCTTTATCCAGCTTTTCATGAAAAACATATCCATTTCTTTCTTCAATTTGTTAATTGATTCTGCCTCCACTGCAGTCCGGGCAGTGAGTTTCACAGATTCATAACCCTCTGAGAAAATTAGTTTCTCCTCATCTCAGTTTTGAACCTACCTCCTCTCACTCGATATCTATAACCACTTGTTCGAGACTGTCCTGTAACGGGAAACATCTGTTAAATGTCCACCTTATCAATCCCATTTAGCATTTTATGTACCTCAATCAGATCCCCTGTCATTCTTCTGAACTCAAGCAAGTATAAGCCCAAACTATTCAACCGTTCCTCATACAAAAGCCCTTTCATTTCTGGAATCAATCTGGTGAAACTCCTCTGAATTTCCTCTGTTGCCACCACATCTTTTCAATTTCTCTTTCTCTCAGGAATATACTTTAACTGAGAGGTATTTAGTATCTCCCTAAGCATTTCCCACTGTTCTTCAACTGTCCTGCTCGTTAATATTTTTGCTCAGCCCACTCAGGCCAACACCTTCCTCAGGCCTGTAAAGTTACCTTTGCCCAACACTAAAACTCTATGACTCTGTCTTCAGTTTTTCAATCCAAATTTGAAACCATAGCATGTTTGGTCACTCCTTCCAACAGGCTCCTTAACTATACAACCATTTACCAATCCTTCCTTGTTATGTAATACAAAATCTAAAGTAGCCGGGTCTTTCGTTGGCTCCATGACATGTTGCTCTAAGAAACAATTCCTCATATATTCTATCAATCCTTCTTTGAGGCTACCCTTGCCAAATTTATTAAACAAGTCAATATGCATGTTTAAATCACCCATAATTACTGTTGTGCCCTTCTCACAAGCCCTCTTATTTCCTGGCTCATACTATGCCCTACTCCTGGACTCCTGTTCGGGTGCCTGTAAATTACTCCTATCAAGGGGTTTCTTCCCTTGTTTTTATATTTCCACCCAGATTGTTTCAAAATTTTGGTACTTAGTGCCAATATCATTTCTTAATACAGACTTGATGTCATTTTTAACCAGTAAAGCAACTCCACATCCTGCTCCTTCTTGTCTATCCTTTCGGAATACTTTGTACCCTTGGACATTTAACACCCAGTCCTAACCTTCCTGTAACCACATTCCAGTAATCCTCACTAGGTCGTCTCTATTTGTCTGTATTTGCGCTGTCAGCTTTATTCTGAAATGACATGGCTTTCCCATGAATGTTTATTTGGTTTTTTTTGCAATGATATCATTTTTTGATCATGTTGTTGATTGTGATGATCCTCAATTCAGAAGCTGGTTAATTGGGCTTAGGTTTTGACTTGAATTAGAAGTTTGTTTTTGAAAAGTCTTTTAGTGTTGATTCTTTTACAAGAGCAAGAGTAAAAGATTCGGCTTGCTTAAAGGCTTTTTGGAGGTCATGGAGGTCCCTCAGGTCTGTGATAAACTGTACTTAAACCAAACCATTATCTGTGGCTGGGTGATTACTATTTTTTTCAAAGACACCTGGTGCCAATACAAATATCAAACTTCTTCAAAACGGTACATGTCTCTGTGTAATCAATACGTATCCCCACACTTCCACTTTCCTTTAAATTATATATAAAAACAGGTTTATTCTCTGAAACAAAGCAGTCCAAACCTCATTTTTTTCCAGTTTGTTTTACAAATAAAATGTCTGTAGTCCTCACACTATTTGTTGGCTTCTATCTGTTAACGAATTCTCAATTCATACGAGTATATTTCCCTCAACACCATGTACTCTAATTTTATTTGCTAACCTCCTGCGTGGGCTATGATCAAAAGACTTCTGAAAATGCAAATACACCACATTCACTGGTTCATTAATGCTACATTCAATATCCTAAAAAAAGACTCCAACCAAGTTTGTCAAACATGACTTCTGTTTCATAAATTCATGTTGACACTGCCAAGTTTTATCATTATTTTCCAAATACCTATTTATCACATTCTTTATCGTAGATTTTAACGTTTTCTTTATTACTAATGCCAAATTAGCAGACTTGTAGTCCTCCATTCTCTCTCATCCTCCCTTCTTAATTTTTACAGTTATTTTTATTGTTACACAGGATTCCCACAAAAGAAGCTGTGAAAGCCCTTAGAATCATTTAGATGGTTGTTCTTTGAGGTAGAACATGTAAGTGAGCAGAGTAGGGCCTATAATTCAGTTGAAGGATAAAGCACCTGGTGCCTCACTTCTCTGGCCCTTCCTGAACATCTTGCCTGATGGTTGGGCCCTGGCCCTCTCCGGCCATTAGTCTTGTTATTGATACAGAGTTCCACCATATTACCAAATCTTGTGAAAAATTATTTCAGCTCAGTTTCATTAATATCATGAGGCAGGTTCATGATAAGTAGCAGATGATCGTCTTGCTATCAAAGTGTGCACAATATTTCCATATCCAAGTTAGTTTTCATTGAGACCTTGCTGGACTCCTGTTGTAATACACAGTGCTGTTCCTAATTTTCCGGTCATAAAGCTGAGGATGGGATCTGTTATTTATGGTTTTCCCTCTGGTCAGGACTACTGTATTGGGTCAATGTAAGAGGAATTCCAGTGGTGAAGATAATGCCACTAGTGATCAGTTCTTATTTGTTACTGAAGCCAAGGAAGAACTGAAGCCTTGAGATGGAAGGGATGAAAATTTCACGATGATAATTTCAGCAACTTCTTCCATGAACACGGGATCACGTTTTTCATCTTGGCTGCCCTAGTCCAGGTTCTGAATGTACTGTTCAAAGGGTTCTATCCTCCTTTGATCCTTTCCCAACCTTAGTCCTCCATTGTTGATGTGTGAGAGTCAGTTAGTAAATATGAGTGAGAGAATGAATACAAGTGAGACAATGAGTACGATAGAGACTGAGAGGGAGAGTGTGAGAAAAGTGTAAATGTGAGAGAGAAAGTTACCAAGTAACAGAGAGTTAGTGATTAACAGAGTGAAAGTGAGAGAGAAACTGAGTCAGTGGGAGAAAGTTGTGTATGTTTTCTTTGTGCCTGTACATTAACTTCTTAAAAAATGTTCAGCCTTCATGTTATAGCCAATCAGATCTCAGGTAGCTAGTGCTGGGTTTCTTATTGGAGGGGAGTGAAAGGCTTACAAGAAGTCTGGTTTCTTTTTAGAGGATTTTCTGTCCCCCTTAGGCCATTCCCTCCAACACCAGCCTATGCCATGTATTCGCCATTCCTCCTGACCTTCTCCTCTTTCAGGCTGAATGTACTGTCCTCGGAAAAGGACTCAGCTTCGTACCCTTACGCCCCCACCCTAATGAATTTCGGGTTCGTCATGATGTTGAACTATTTTTCCGCTGCCTCAGTCTCCATACTCACTCCTTCAGGCAGGATTCCCACCCTTGTTCCACTGATCCCTTCACCCACCTCCAGTGTTCACCCTCCACTTGGACCCCTTCCTCTGGCCTCTTACCAGACCTCAATCTCTTCACTTAAAATTGCTGACATGACATTGGCCATCTCAATTTCTCTGCTCCTCTCACCCACTCTAACCTATACCCTTCTGAAATTGCCACATTTCGTTCTCTTAGGTCCAACCCTAACTTTGCTATCAAACTGACCAATAAAAGTAGTGCTGTTGTAGTCTGGCACACTGATCTTTACCTTGCGGAAGCTCAGCACTGTTCTTGGACACTTCTTCCTACACCCCCAGACCATGACCCCATGTCCGAACATCAAGCCAATGTTGCCGGGACTGTTACCCACCTCATTACCTCTGGAGATCTTCCCCCCACTGCCTCTAACCTGGTAGTCTCCCAACCCTGGACAGCTTGCTTCTACCTCATTCCCAAAATCCATAAACCAGTTTGCCCCGGTAGGCCCATCGTATCAGACAGTTCCTGCCCCATTGAGCTAATTTTCTCCTACCTTGACTCCATTCTCTCTCCACTTGTCCAGACTCTTCCCTGTTCCAATTTCTCTGATGCCCTCCACCATATTGACAATTTCCAGTTCCCTGGCCCTAACTGCCTCCTGTTCCCCATTGATGTCCAACCCCTGTATCCCTCCATTCCCAACAGGATTGTCTGAGAGGTCTCAGCTTCTTCCTTGAGCAGAGACCTGAACAATCCACATCCATCACCACTTTCCTCCACATGGCTGAACTTGTTCTCTCACTGAACAGTTTCTCCTTTAATTCATCTCACTTCTGCCAAGTCAAAGGAGTGGCTACAGCACCCGCATGGGTTCCAGTTATGCGTGCTTCTTTTTGGGATACGTGGAACAATCCATGTTCCAGTTGTACACTGGGCCCTTCCACAACTCCTTTTTCAACATATTGATGACTGCTTCAGTGCTGCTTCATACTCCCGCCAGGACCTTGAAAAATTCGTTAATTTTGCCTCCAATATCCACCCCTCTATAACTTTCACATCGTCCATTCTGACCTCTTCCTTTCCTTGACCTCTCTGTCTCAATTTCGGGGAATAAACTGTCCACTGCCATCCAGCACAAAGCCACTGACTCTCACAGCTACCTTCACTATAGCTTGTCACACTCCACATACTACAAGGACTCCATCCCATTCTCCCAGTTCCTTCGTTTATGTTGCAGCTGTTTGGATGATGCCACCTTCCAAAACAACATTGCTGACATGGCTTGCTTCTTCCATGACTGTGGTTTCCCAGCCACTGTAGTTGATCGGGCCCTCAACCGCATCCAACCTATCACCCATGCATCCGCCCTTGCCCCGTCCCAGCACTCACAAGAGCATGATTGGGTTCTCCTTGTCCTCACTTCATACCACCAGCCTCCACATTCAAAGTATCATTCTCCGCGATTCCAGACAAGTCTAGCAGAATGCCATCTTCAAACACATCTTCCCCTCACTCCTCCTGTCTGCATTTCGCAGGGATCATTCCCCCTGGGATAACCTAGTCCATTCCACAACCACCAACACCACTACCCCTCCCCATGGCACCTTCCCATGTAAACGCAGAAGGTGCAACACCTGCCCCTTCATGCCCTCCCTGCCCACCGTCCAAGGGTCTAAACAGTCTTTCCAGGTGAAGCAGCATTTCACCTGTACCTCCTCCAATCTTGTGTATTGTATTTGTTGCACCTCATGTGGCCTACTCTACATTGGACAAACCAAACGCAGACTGGTTAACTGCTTTACAGAACATCTCCGGTCTGTGCGCAAGCATGACCCCAACCTTCTCTTAGCCAGTCATTTTAACACAGTGTCCTGCTCGCATGCGCATATGTCTTCCCAGGCATGTTGCAGTGTTCCAGCGAATCACAGTGCAAACTGGAGGAACAACATCTCATCTTAAGATGAGGTACTTTACAGCCTTCTGGACTTAATATTAAGTTCAACACCTTCAAATTGTGAGCCAAACCAATTTCTTCCCTTTCTTTTAGTTTGTTACATTCTGTTATCATGTCCTCTCTCCCATCCCCCATCCCAA